AGGCATGCGCCACCACACCTGGCTAATTTTTGTATTTTTAGTAGAGACAGGTTTCACCATGTTGGTCAGGCTGGTCTCGAACTCCTGATCTCAAATGATCCGCCTGCCTTGGCCTACCAAAGTGCTGTCATTACAGGCATGATCCACTGCATCCAGCCTGCTATTAATAATTTCAAGGGCAAACCAGGACTGTACTAAACAGATGAGCCTTACAGTCACCTTAATAATATGATTTACTTACTACCATTTGCTGCTTAAATTAGTGAGAATAGACTTACTTGTTTTTTTGTTTGTTTGTTTTTTGTTTTGTTTGTTTTTGTTTTGAGACAGACTCTCACTCTGTCGCCCAGGCTGGAGTGCAGTGGTGTGATCTCAGCTCACTGCAACCTCCACTTCCCAGGTTCAAGCGATTCTCCTGCCTCAGCCTCCTGAGTAGCTGGGATTACAGATGTCTGCCACCATGCCCGGCTAATTTTTGTATTTTTAGTAGAGACGGGGTTTCACCATGTTGGTCAGGCTGGTCTCGAACTCCTGACCTCGTGATCCACCCACCTCGGCCTCCCAAAGTGCTGGGATTACAGGCGTGAGCCATGGCACCCGGCCAACTTACTTGTTTTTAACTAAAAACTTTAACCAACATAACTTAGGATTTTTAGTATTACAACATTATTTAACAATATAGACTGAGTGCAGTGGCTCACACCTGTAATCTCAGCACTTTGGGAGGCCAAGATGGGAGGACTGCTTGGGGCCAGAAGTTTGAGACCAACCTGGGAAACATAGTAGGACACTGCCTCTATTAAAAATTTTAATGGCAAATTACTTTTGCACCAACCTGATATATAGGTGGATCATGTTTGCTTTGTTGTGTCTACGACACAGGAGAAAATATTCTATTCTACATATTTATAAAGCAAATTCAGATTAATTTAAATTCATAGAATCTATTATATCAATAATAGTTGACTTAATGTAGCCATATGCTTGTTGCCTAAAGAACCATGACTTACACTGATGTTATGTGTTGTTAATGAAGCCTACAAAATGGAAACAAAGTATCTCATAATGTTTTAACAAACGGATTCACTGACATATATATGAGTTGAGGTTGTTAAATAAAAGTATTAATAGGCCAGGCATGGTGCCTCCTGCCTGTAATTCCAGCACTTTGAAAGGCTGAGACAGGAGGATCATTTGAGCTCAGGAGTTCAAGACCAGCCTAGGCAACATAGTGAGACCCCATCTCTAAAAAAAAAAAATTTTCTGGCCGGGCGCGGTGGCTCACGCCTGTAATCCCAGCACTTTGGGAGGCCAAGGCGGGCAGATCACGAAGTCAGGAGATCGAGACCATTCTGGTTAACATGGTGAAACCTCATCTCTGCTAAAAATACAAAGAAAAAAAAACTAGTGGTGGCGGTTGCCTGTAATCCCAGCTAATCGGGAGGCTGAGGCAGGAGAATGGCATGAACCTGGGAGGTGGAGTTTGCAGTGAGCTGAGATCGCGCCACTGTACCCCAGACTGGGTGACAGAGCAAGACTTCGTCTCAAAAAAAAAAAAAAAATTTCTTTTTTTAATTAGCTGGGGGTGATAGTACACACCTGTGGTTCCAGCTACTTGGGAGGCTGAGGTGAGAGGATTGCTTATGCCTGGGAAGTTGAGGCTGCAATAAGCCACTGCACTCTAGCCTGGGTGACAAAGTGAGACCGTGTCTTAAAAATATATACATATGGCCAGGCACGGTGGCTCATGCCTGTGATCCCAGCACTTTGGGAGGCTGAGGTTGGTGGATCACAAGGTCAAGAGATCAAGACCATCCTGGCCAACATGGTGAAACCCTGTCTCTACTAAAAAAAATACAAAAATTAACTGGGCATGGCGGTGTGCACCTGTAGTCCCAGCTACTCGGGAGGCTGAGGCAGGAGAATTGCTTGAACCCGAGAAGCAGAGGTTACAGTGAGCCGAGATTGTGCCCCTGTACTCCAGCCTGGTGACAGAGCGAGACTTCGTCTCAAAAAAAAAAAAAAAAAAAATTATATATATATATATATATACACACACACACACACACATACTCATATACATATGTATTACTAGAACAAAATTTATACTTTAAGAAATCTATAAGTTGACATGTATTAAAATTGTCATCATCTAATTTCTGTGCTGTAAATATAAATTATTTTGTGATATTTATATAGCTATATGTCTATTGTTCTTTGCTATAAATAAAAGCATCTGTCCTATAATACTATTAATGTCAGAAATCCAAGAAGAATTAAACATCAGTCTCATTTATCATTCCAATGTCTTCATTGAAACGGCGTTATTGAAGACTTACTGGCACTTTACTTCCTCATTCTGCAATTCATATGGGCACTGTGCTAGTAGCTGATACTGTAATGAGCAAACAGACATGATCCTTTAGACATAATTGTGAGTCTAGTAGTCTCAGAAAAGAAATGCATTAATTAAATTATAATACAAATAAATATAACTACAAACTGTAATGAGTTCCCTGAGAAAAATGCTACATGCTCTGGGATCTAGATTATGTAGGAGTCAGGGAAGAGCTTCTTGAGGATGTGGTATTAGAACTGATACTTGAAAATGACTAAGCAATAACTAAGTGTTAGAATGTATTAAAGAGGCTGCTCTAGACATAGAGGAAAGCATGTAAAAAGCCTGTGAAGCAAAACTGGGCATACGTTTTAGTTCAAGGCACTGAAAGGAGACTGTGTGGTCGCAGATGAGAGCAAGAGAGAGGGGGACAAGTGGGGGTTCTCGAGGCAGCTACCACTGCCACAAGGCACTACAGAGGCTTTGCCCAGGTCGTCTCTCCAGTCCTGGGGGATTGGATGGGTCAGTAACAACATTAAACACAATACCAAGAAGAGAAATTAGGTTCGGAGATGACAGACAGTGCAGGAATTCCATCAGAAAAAGTAAAAGCAAAGAGAGATGGAGAGGGAAATCCAAGCCAAAGTCCTTGTGCTGCAGCCGAAAACTAGGAGTCCAGACACCAAAAACAGCAAAACCAAAGACGAACATGAAGTTTAGATCAAGCTGTCAAACCAAACATATCTATCTTTCTATTCTTTCTCTCCCAAATCCCTTTAGCCTACCAAAAAAAAAAAAAAAAGTTTAAATGTTCCTTTGGCTGGGTGCAGTGGCTCATGTCTGTAATCCCAGCACTTTGGGAGGCCAAAGCAGGTGGATTGCTTGAGCCCAGGAGTTCAAGACCAGCCTGGACACACAGCAAAACCCTGTCTCTACAAAATATACAAAAAGTAGCCAGGCATAGTGGCAAGTGCCTGGAGTCCCAGCTACTGGGGAGGCTGAAGTGGGAGGATCACCTGAGCCCAGGGAGGTCAAGGCTGCAGTGAGCCATGATTTCGTGACTACATTCCAGCCAAGGTAACAGAGTGAAACCTTGTCTCAAAAAGAAAAGAAAAGAAAAGAAAAGAAAAGAAAAGAAAAGAAAAGAAAAGAAAAGAAAAGAAAAGAAAAGAGAGAGAGAGAAAGAAAGAGAAAGAAAGAGAGAGAGAAAGAAAGAAAGGAAGAAAGGAAGAAAGAAAGAAACATTTCTCTTATAAAGTGTAATCTTATAAGGGGTAATTGTGCTTAAAAACAAACAAAAATGTACCATCATCTGACCAGAAATTTGAGGAAGAAACAAAGTGATGTGAAATTAAAGGGAAATAGCCAATAACTAAAAACAAAACAAAACAAAAAACCCACCCAGTCTGCAGCACACACACAAGAGTATTTCAGCGAAGTTGTATTTTACAAACAAAAATTGTTTATAATTTGCATTGACAAGGTATTTATTTTCCCTGCACTCTTTTGCACATTTAAAATGTTGTACATTCTGCATGTATTACACTGGGAATAGTTTCAGGAGGCCCAGCTGGGTCTGCTAGAGGGTTAGTACACCTGGAAAAACAACCCTGGGCAATTGATCTCCAATTCGCCTCTTCTGACAGTAAGCATTCAGGAATGTGCTAGGGTGGTCATGAGTTAGTTTGCATTTGGTGACCATTAGAAATGTAACCAAAGGATCCAGGACAGTTGAAAGTGATCAAGAAGGAGTACAGCCTCTGAGAGAATGGCAAGAAGAGCTCTTAAGGACCCCCAAGAGTTCTATCCGCCGGGCGTGGTCGCTCATGCCTGTAATCCTAGCACATTGGTAGGCCAAGGAGAATGGATCACCTGAGGTCTGGAGTTCCAGACCAGCCTGACCAACATGGTGAAACCCCGTCTCTACTAAAAATACAAAAATTAGCTGGGCATGGCGGCACAATGCCTGTAGTCCCAGGCTGAGACAGGAGAATCGCTTGAACCCGGGAGGTGGAGGCTGCAGTGAGCCGAGATGGCGCCATTGCACTCTAGCCTGAGGGACAAGGGTGAGACTTAATCTCAGAAAAAAAAAAAAAAAAGAGTTACATCCATCAACAGGTGGTACTGCCAGCAGCAAGACACCTCAGTGGGAGAGGGCAACCAGGTGACTGTCCCCTCCAATAGGGAGATTGCTGCTGTGCCTTTTGCTCCCCATAGCTGTCTGGATATAGTAACATATCTTTTCTATTTCCATTCAAGGTATTTGTGTTATTTACCTGCCACACTTCACTGTCTTCCAACTAACACAATCATCTTTATGAAAATTTCACGATTACCTATTTTTAAAAATAAATGAATAGGCTGGGCATGATGGCTCATGCCTGTAATCCCAGTGCTTTGGGAGGCTGAGGCAGGCAGATCACTTGAGGTCAGGAGTTTGAGACCAGTATGGACGACATGGCAAAACCCATCTCTACTAAAACTACAAAAATTAGCCGGGTGCGGTGGCACACGCCTGTAATCCCAGCTACTAGGGAGACTGAAGCAGGAGAATCGCTTGAGCCCAGAGGCGGAGGTGGCACTGAGCCAAGATCACCACTGTACTCTAGCCTGGGCAACAGAGCGAGACTATGTCTCAAAAATAAATAAATAAATAAGCCAGCGCCAGTCGGAGCCAGCGCGAGTCGCCGCCATCACTGCTGCTGCCAAGTCCTCCACCCGCTGCCCCCGCCATGTCTGCTACCGCTGCCACGGCCCCCCCTGCCGCCCCGGCTGGGGAGGGTGGCCCCCCTGCACCCCCTCCAAACCTCACCAGTAACAGGAGACTGCAGCAGACCCAGGCCCAGGTGGATGAGGTGGTGGACATCATGAGGGTGGACGTGGACAAGGTCCTGGAGCGGGACCAGAAGCTGTCGGAGCTGGACGACCGTGCAGATGCACTCCAGGCAGGGGCCTCCCAGTTTGAAACAAGTGCAGCCAAGCTCAAGCGCAAATACTGGTGGAAAAACCTCAAGATGATGATCATCTTGGGAGTGATTTGCGCCATCATCCTCATCATCTTCATAGTTTACTTCAGCACTTAAATCCCTGAGGAGTCTGCCCTGCCTAGAGAAGGGCCTCTCCCCCCACCCTCAGCCGTTCCTCCACCTCTCAGCCATATCTTTCAGCCCCCCCTTCCCTGGATCCGTGCGTGTGTGTGTCCGTGTGTGTGTCCCCCTGTAAATAGCCAGCTGTTATTTATACATATATAATATTATATATTAAATAAATAAATAAATAAATAAATATCCTTGAAGAGTTCTTGAGAATAAGGCCACATGCCATAAGCATCCAGCACAACTAATTTTTCCTCAACATTGGAACAGTCTGATATTTCTTTGATTAAACACCTGATGACATGTTTAGCTTATGTTTAGAAGCCATGCTATAGAAACACATCTATCTATGTCTGTAATCATTACTGTCACACTAAATGTGGTGAATGCTTTTACTACAAGAGACACATGTTCATTCTGGGACAAAGCTCACTGAGTTGAATGACAGGCAAAATCATCCGCCATATTTTAAAACTTTTTTCTTTAAATGTTTACCCTATAATCTAATTGAATTCTAGAAAATTAAATAAGAGTATAATATACTTCAACTGTAAAAATAAGAGTCATAGGCCAGGAGTGGTGGCTCAAGCCTGTAATCCCAGCACTTTGGGAGGCCAAGGTAGGTGGATCACTTGAGGTCAGGAGTTTGAGACCAGCCAGGCCAACATGGTGAAACTCCCTCTCTACTAAAAAAGTATAAAGGCCAGGCGCAGTGGCTCATGCCTGTAATCCCAGCACTTTGGGAGGCCGAGGTGGGTGGATCACAAGGTCAGGAGATCCAGACCACGGTGAAACCCTGTCTCTACTAAAAAATACAAAAATATATATATATATATTAGCCGGGCGTGGTAGAGGGCGCCTGTAGTCCCAGCTACTCAGGAGGCTTAGGCAGGAGAATGGCGTGAATCCAGGAGACGGAGCTTGCAGTGAGCCGAGATCGTGCCACTGCACTCCAGCCTGGGGAACAGAGCAAGACTCCATCTCAAAAAAAAAAAAGTATAAAAATTAGTGGGCAAGGTGGTGCACGCCTGGAGTCCCAGCTATTCAGGAGGCTGAGGCAGAAGAATCGCTTGAACCTGGGAGGTGGAGGTTGCAGTGAGCTGGGGTCACACCACTGCACTCCAGCCTGGGCGACAGAGCAAGACTCCATCTCTCCCAAAAAAGAACCATTCCAGGTATGCTCTAAGCTCAGAGGCAACAAAAATGAAAAGTAGAGTAGCTTTCACACAATTGTCAGAGTAATTCATTAAATTGTGAGTCTTAGATAAGCCATGTGAGTCAGAGTTTTTCCTCTTCCACTACGATTAGTAAAGGGCAGCTACTGCTGCTTTTCCCCCCACCGCCCAAAGTGAACAAGCTGCCTGGAGTGTGAGTGTAATGAGTGTTGAGCTAGAGAAAGAAGGGGACTGAAGTGACTGCAGACCTCCACAGTGAGGAAAGGAAGAAAAGGGAAAAGGAGAGGAGATAAATCAGGCACTCATCTCTAGGATAAACCTTTAAGATACTAGGCCGGGTGCTGTTGTTCACACCTGTAATCCTAGCACTTTGGGAGGCCGAGGCAGAAGCTCAGGAGTTCGAGACCAGCACGGGCAACATAGCAAGACCTCATCTCGCTAAAAACAAAGATTTTAAAAATTAGCTGGGTATGGTGGCACACACCTGTAGTCCCAGCTACTATGGAGGCAATGGTGAGAGGATCACTTGAGCCCAGGAGATCGAGACTACAGGGAGCTATGATCGCACCACTGCACTCCAGTCTGAGGTGGAGTGCAAGAGACAGAGACCCTGTCTCACCAAACAAACAAACAAACAAAAACCACTAGGGTTTCTAGCTTTCTCTCTTGAAATACTTTTTATAGGTGAACCTCTCACCATATCATGAGGACACTCAATTAGCTATGTAGAGTAATCCCTGTGGAGAAGAACTAACTCCTTTCACCAGTAATGGGCCCCATTTAGCCAGACATGTGAGTTGAGCAACTCAGAAGCATTTTTTCCAGCCGCAATAAAGCCTTCAGATGACTGCAATCTTTTTTTTTTTTTTTTTTTTTTTTTTTTTTTTTTTTTTTATCTTGAGACAGAGTCTTGCTCTGTCGCCCAGGCTGGAGTGCAGTGGTGCCATCTCAGCTTACTGCAAGATCCACCTCCTGGGTTCAGGTCATTCTCCTGCCTCAGACTCCTGAGTAGCTCAGACTACAGGTACCTGCCACCATGCCCAACTAATATTTTTGCATTTTTTTTAGTAGAGACGGGGTTTCACCATGTTATCCAGGATGGTCTCGATCTCCTGACCTCATAATCCACCCACCTTGGCCTCCCAAAGTGCTGGGATTACAGGCGTGAGTCACTGCGCCCGGCCGATGACTGCAATCTTGACTGCAATCTTGTGATAGACCCCAAGATACAAATGCTCAGTTAAGCCACTTGCAATTTCCTGACCCCATAAAAGCTGTGATTTTTTAAAAAATGTCTATTGTGGCTGGGCAAGTGGCTCATGCCTGTAATCCCAGCAGTTTGGGAGGCTGAGGCAGGAAGATTGCTTAAGCCTGGGAGTTTGAAAGCAGACTGGGAAAGATGGCAAGACCTCGTCTTTACAAAAAATTGTTAAAATTAGCCAGGCATGGTGGCATGCACCTGTAGTCCCGGCTACTCAGGAAACTGAGGCGTAAGGATCCCTTGAGCCTAGGAGTTCAAGGCTGCAGTGAGCTGTGATTGTACCAGTGTACTCCTTCCTGGGCAACAGAGCAAGACTCCATTTCTTAAAAAAAAAAAAAAAAAAAAAAAAGTCCATTGTTGTTTTCAGCCACTAAATTTTTACCTAATTTGTTATCCAGCAGTAGATAACTAATACATATTTTGAAGCTTACACTTTATTTTACGGAAATAATCTTAAGTATTATGGGCAACTAGCTAAATAATCCTTCTAAGGCTGTTGTCTTTATGTCTGGCATTGGAACTTGAAGTCTGCAGGAAAGCCGTTGGAAAAAAAATACTGGGGTGCGGGGAGTAAGGACTAATTGGAACTCACAATTACAATCTGGATGAACTAGAAGTTAGACCAGTAACTCTGCACCTCCAAAGTTAATGAAGAGTTTTCTGCAAAAGAAGTTGGCACCCGGGCCGGGCATGGTGGTTCATAACTGTAATCCAAGCACTTTGGGAGGCTGAGGCAGGTGGATCACCTGAGGTCAGGAGTTCGAGACCAGCCTGACCAACACGGAGAAACCCTGTCTCTACTAAAAATACAAAATTAGCCAGGCGTGGTGGCACATACCTGTAATCCCAGCTACTTGGGAGGCTGAGGCAGGAGAAACGCTTGAACCTGGGAGGCAGAGGTTGTGGTGAGCCGATATCACGCCATTGCACTCCAGCCTGGGCAACAAGGGTGAAACTCCATCTCGAAAGAAAGAAGGAAAGAAGGAAAGAAGGAAAGAAGGAAGGAAGGAAGGAAGGAAGGAAGGAAGGAAGGAAGGAAGGAAGGAAGGAAGGAAGGAAAGAAGGAAGGAAGGAAGGAAAAGAGAAAAAAAGAGAGAAAGTAAGTTTCATAATGGTACAGAGTTAATTCATAAAGAAGACATAACAAAACCAAATGTGTATGCATCTCAGAAATCCACTATTATAGTCACATTATAGTCAATATATAGTCAATTATAGTCACTATAATCCACATTATAGTCAATGTCAACACTTCTAGCTCACTTGTGGTGCAACAAGTAGGAAGTAAGTAATGATAAAGGATAGGTATATAGTAAAGACAGAGAAGACTTGAACAACAGAATTAATCACCATGACAAAGTTAAACATTATACCCAACGACTGCAGAACAGGCATTCTTTATAAGGGCTTATGGTATGTTCACCACAAAAGAGCTTATACTGGGCCACAAGACACATCTCAATAAATGTTAAAAGAAATGAAATCACACAAAGTATGTTCTCTGACCACAGTGGAATTAAACTATAAAATAACAACAAAAACATATGTGGAATATTCCCAAATATTTGGAAATTAAATAACATACTTCCAGATAACTTAGGGGTCAAAGAAGAAATTGCAAGGGAAAAGAGAGAGGTATTTAAACTGAATTATAATAAAAGCACAGTATATCAAACCGTTTAGGATGTAGCTAAATCAGTGAGCAGGAGCCAGGTGCGGTAGCTCATGCCTGTAATCGCACAACTTTGGGAGGTTGAAGTGAGAGGATTATTTAAGGCCCAGAGTTTGAGACCAGCCTGGGTAACCCCATCTCTACAAAAAATAAATAAATAAATAAATAAATAAATAAATAAATAAATAAATAAAGTAAAATTAATGACAAAGGAGAAATGTACAGTTTTAAGTATATTAAAAAGTGAGGTTTTATAACAATAATTCAATATTCCACCTTATGAGGTTAAAAAAAGAAGACGAAATGAAACTTAAAAGAGAGAAAATAAGTCAAGCGCAGTGGCTCATGCCTGTAATCCCAGTACTTTAGGAGGCTAAGGGGGTAGGATTACTTGAGACCAGGAATTCGAGACCAACCTAGACAACATAGCGAGACCCTGTCTCTATGAAAACAAAACAAACAAACAAAAAATGCAAAAATTAGCCAGCCATGGTGGCACATCCCTGTAGTCCTAGCTACTCAGGAGGCTGAGGCATGAGGACACTTAAGCCCGAGAGGTCAAGGCTGCAGTGAGCCTTGATTGTGCCACTGCACTCAAGCCTGTGTAATAGGGTGAGATACCACCTCTAAAAAAAAAAAGAGAGAGACCAGGAGCAGTGGCTCACGCCTGTAATCCCAGCACTTTGGGAGGCCAAGGTGGGCAGATCACCTGAGGTCGGGAGTTCAAGATCACCTGACCAACATGGAAAAATCCCATCTCTATGGAAAATACAAAATTAGCCGGGCGTGGTGGTGCACGCCTGTAATCCCAGCTACTTGGGAGGCTAAGGCAGGAGAATCACTTGAACCCGGGAGGCAGAGGTTTCGGTGAGCTGAGATTACACCATTGCACTCCAGCCTGGGCAACAAGAGGGAAACTCCATCTCAAAAAATAAAAATAAGAACAGATATCAATGAACTCAAAAACAGAAAAATATTTTTTTTTAAATCCACAAAACCAAAAGCTGGAATTTAAAGAAATCAGTAAAAGTAATGAACTCATGAATGGACTAGAG